GATCCTAATATTAAAGAAAATAGTTTTCTTTCATCAGAGAGTTTTACCGCCTTGTAATTAAGTTGCAATTGGCCGACACTTAAAAGATTTTTCACCGATCTTATTACCTTTATTATTGCTCTACAGTAACTTATAGGGATAAAATAAATGAATTTTAATTTTATAAAAATATTTTCAAAATATTCTGTGAATAATATGATATTTAAATACATGTATATGTATGTATATCTAGACATATATGAAATAAGTTAGTGTCTTAGAATTAAACACGATTATTGAACTAATTTCCAATCATTGGTGAAAAAAAATCATAACAAAAATTGATATTTTACGCTTTACGGCCTTGTTCGAAGTTTAATGATAAATTAATTATTAATTCAAACACGTATTATCATTTACGTACCTGAATATGATTTAAAATTTCGACTTTTTAAAACCAATCTCTTCAATTAAATTTGAGATTTTGCAATCAAATTTGGAAATTAAATTACAACGAGAATATATGTCAACTTTGTTATACCCGTTCGAACAAATGGCTATTTCGAACAAAATTGACGTGTGAAAAAGATTACATTAAATTTTCCAGAAAATTGTCAATATTTAAATATCGGTTGATTTTTTAAAAAACTTAATAACCTTTTAATTTTTATTGAGATATTAATTTGTTTTGAAGGTAATTTCTGAATTAACAAGAAAGCTGTTAGAGAATTTTGAATAGAAATTGAAATCCAGGTTGAACCAATTTTAATTCATATTATTTGTTTAAAATAATATATACATATTATTTTAAACAAATAATATATACATATTGTATATATTATTGAAGTGGTTATGGCGCCGATCCTTTAACCAAAGGGTCTCGGGTTCAAACCCCGGTCAGGTCACTATTAAAAATTATATTCAATATTAAGCTATATTCAATATATAATACTTATAAAAAAATAACAAATTAGTATACAAGTTATTTTCATATATGTATTTATACTCGATATTAAAACTAATAAAAATAAACAGTAAATAATATTAATAATCTTAAATATTTAATATAAAAAAAACTACGGCAGGCTAGTCACCTACCTAGATAAAACTCTATGACGCAATGAAACTGAGGCATGACAATCTATGATATCATGCACTAGCCTTATGCGCCTCCTAGGAGTGAAAAAGGAAAAAAAAATTGCTTTCATTTTACTCAAATTCAAATTTAAAAACAAACAGTAGTCCATTAAAGAAAGGAATTGTAAACGATATCATTAGTAGAAAACTTTCAAAATCCCATTTCATTAGTATTTCGTTTTCGAGACATGCCAAATAGCCAATTTCACTTTCCTCATTTTATTTCACGCTTCAAAATTTTGAATAGATAACTTTTTCCGCACTAAAAAACTGAACCTTATTAAAAGATACTTTTTAGCACTTTTCCAAAAAATTTTTGAAAATTAGTTTAAACAACTTCTTTTTAGCTACAACTTCTTTTTAAAAAGCAGTGTTTTCATTCGCTGAAGGGAAAAGTTCTACATTGGCTTAACCCAACCTTATTCTAAATAATACGGAGATTGATGTGGTCTACATCGACTTTAACAAGGTCTTCGATGTTTTACCCGATGACGTTATTATTTTGAAGTTGAAATTATTGGGATTTCCTGATAATTTTGAAAATTGAATTGATTCCTACCTTTCTTTAGTATATACAGAATTTTTTTTGGATCGCCAGTGTCGTCGCGCTTTTAGGCAAATGACCTGAGGTTCCCCGAGGTCATTTGAGGACACTCCGTTTCATCATCGCTGTTAACGATGTTGCATCTGTTTCCAATTCCCGTGAGGTGTAAATTTATGGTGATGATGTGAAAATTTTAAAAAAGACGCGTTTTGTGAGTGATTACTACTAACATTTGCTAATCACTATAACTATGGGATTGACAAAGCGGATTCAATATTGGGTTTTATTAAACGCTGGTCAAAGAGTTTAATGATTCTCAAAATTTGAGGCAAAATTAAGTAGCAGACGTTATGTTACGGATGTGATGTTCATCTTTCGACGTATGAAAGCTGACATAGTTTTTTCGACATCTTTAATTGAATGATCGTTTACACTAATGTTAAATCTCGTTCTCCTGATATTTTAAATATAATGGTTGAATTGAAAATTTGGGATAGCTTGTATTTTCGAATATATGAGGTGTTAAAAATTCATATTTTACAAATATCGAGAAGCGACATCTTGAGAGGTCAAGTTAGAAAAAAAATTTCATCAAGTAAGGCGAACTGTTTATTAGTATGTAAAACATGTTAAAATTTCAGACTCGTACAGCTTGTCGTCTAGAAGGAAAGCGAAGAAGTTGTTTATTTAAACAGCCATTTTGTTTTTGTAAAAGTCCACAAACACAACAAAACAAAACAACGTATTACTTGTTTTCAAAATATTTTTTTTAGAACTTTTAAAATCTTTTCTTCAATATTTCTGCTCAAGCAATGAAGTTAAACAAAGAATAAGAATTGTAATATATAAAAAAATTAATTTAAAACAAATTGAATTTTTTAATTTTAAAATATTGAAAAAAAATAATATGAAATTAAGAGTTTATTCTATTAAGATAGATAATTATATACGCAATTAAAAGTTTAATCTATTGAAAATCAGGAAAAAAAGTGGAAGCAGTTTGATATATGTATGTTATAACAATTTGGTTCATAGACGATGCCACTTTTTCATGGATTTTGCCACCCGATAAGAACCCAAAACTTTTGATTTGAATTTTAACGTTTATCAAGTTTATAAAGTATTCCGTTAAGAGTTGAAAGTTTTGCGATTTTCTTTTGGATTTTCAATACATTTTCTTCGACTGCATTTTCCAACCACGTGTTCCAGCCTACTTCTTTAACAGCTTCGTCATGCAATAAGTATGGAATTTGAGAGTCGCAATTAATCGTCATTTGTAATTCCATTAAAATTTGAAATGGCTAAAATATTGTACTACGGGCGTACTAGCCTTTGATTATAGACTTTATAGGTTTTTTTTCTATTGGGCCAACATGGTCCCATGGTCAAAGTGTTCTCTCCCAATGGAGCACTTTCCTTATTTGTTATAGGAAAAAATCATTGTTTCTTCCTAGCTTTCTCCTTCCAAATTATTACACTCTATGCTACTCACAACGATATTTTTAGCCTGTATATTTAAATTCGATACCTATCTATGTAATACGCGGATTTTCAGCAATAAATGCCTACTTCAACTCAACCCTAGCAAGACGACCCTCTTCACTAGGAGAACTAGGTGTTCTTCACTAGGAGAAGAATCCTTGAGCGTCTGCACACTATACAGGTGTGCGGAGATACCCAAGAGTGAAATACCTTGGCGTGGGGCTATGACATATCCAACCGCGGCAATGGAGGTGATTTTGGGACCAACCCCACTGCATCTCGTTGCCGAGTCAGGGGCGAAGGCGGCCGTTCTAATATTAGGGAAGAATGGGATGGAAGGCTTTGCTCCTCGCATTTCTCAGGAATGATATGGTTAGAAGATATAGCTTCGAGAAAAACTTCAACTCATTGCTGAGCGACAGAAGGAACTGGAAGGAAGATTTTGCGGGCTACCCGGTCGGGTCATATACCATTGTGTGGCATACGGAAAGATCAAAGATCTGTGAGAGAACGTGAGAGGGTGTGTGCGGGCGTTTCTGGGCCAAGAATCTAATTCTTCGAACCCATGGAGACATATTCCAGCGTCTTTCAGCCGGAGGTGCATGTCATGGACATATGTGTGCAGTTCAACCTTAAGAGACGATACCGTAGATAAGAAATATTGATCATATCAGATAGTCAGGCTGCTATCATAACGCTGAGCTCTTTCTCAATATCCTCTGAGGTAGTATGGAACTGTCTTGGGAATTTAAACGAATTGGGTAAGTGCAATCGAGTCACACTGTACTGGGTGCCTGGACATGTGGGCGTACAAACAAACGAGACGACGGACGCGTTGTCGAGAACTACGTGTTCACACCGCTGAATTGTGGTCTACCGGCCTTTCAAAGTTGCTCGAATTCATCAGGAGGGAAGATCCCGAGGAGGTGATGTAGGGCTTTGGCCCGCACCTAGTTAGGGTACACAAAAGATCTATATTCTCTGACCATGCGCTTTACAGTACTCACGGAATTGGTTAGAAATAAATGCTCCCCCACGATCCGTAAAAATTCCTCGAATTATTCTGAATCGTATTCTTCATCTATATCACTTTCATTTTGTATCCAAAATTTAATTTTGTCTGCGCTACATTCAGTTTTATGGGGCCCTTTTTGATCACTTTCCTTTTCAACGGTGTATCGATCAAAACCTTTATATGCTATTACGCGATAAGGACATTTTGCCTAAAAACTTTTGTCGTATTTTTAAACCAACACCAAATTGTGATTGCTCGATTGCCACCAATTCGCCAACCTTATATTTTGTAGCTACCTTTCTATTTAGATCAAAATCCTTTTATTTTCAGCTTGTATTTTTGCTATATCCTTCTTTGCCTGTTCTCTTAGTTCAATTCTGTCGTTTTGAAATTGTTCAACCCAAGCTTCTTTAACTAACTAGATAATATTCATATCTTGTTGCGTTTTCATTTTGGTTCCAAACATTAATTCAAATGGCGTCGTCTGTATGGCCCGATGAAATGAGTTATTCAAGATTCTTTGAACATCGGTTACGCGGCTATACCATTTTTCTGGTTTTTTTAATGATAACTTGGTTAACACTGCGATTGTTGTTGTATGCTGTCGCTCTACCTGACCATTACCTCTTGGTACCCCTGTTGAAATAAAGTGAAGATTAGTACCATGCGCTTTACAGTACTCACGGAATTGGTTAGAAATAAATGCTCCCCCACGATCCGTAATAATTCGTGACGGGTAACCGAAAATGTTTGAAATGATTTCACATTTCTTGATTGTTTCATCTGCATTCATACTTTTTGTAGGAAATAACCAGCAGAATTTTGAAAAACCACCAACAACGGCTAGAATCTGTATCCCTTCTTAGTGGCGCTCATCGAACCAAAGAGATCGATATGAAAAGTTTCCAATGGTTTATCGCCCATCGGAATAGGGTTAAGTAAACATTCTGGTTTTCCATTTTTTCTTTCAGCTAGGATGCAATGAATACAGTTGGCTAAACAGGAATCGATTCTTGTCTTTAAATCAGGTAAGTAAAATTCTTCTTCAATTTTCTTTTTCATTTTAGCATGGTGAAAATGACCATTTTCGTGAACAGTAGCAACTAGTAAGTTTTTCATGCCGTCCGGTACAACATATAATAATTTTCCATTTACAGTTTTGCACAGAATATCGTGGTGTATGCTAAAATCTTTGTATGGACCATTTTTCAAAACTTCAACAATGGTATTTAATTTTTCATCTTTCTTTTGGGCTTCCTGTTTACTATGGTCTTGTTAACTTGAACACAAAAAGATACTGGGTTTCTGCTGAGTGCGTCTACATATCTAATTTTTGAGCCTTCTCGGTGTTCCACATCGAACTAAAACTCTTCTAGTAATAGGGACCAACGTTCAATTCTGGTAGCAAGATCTTTTTTCTTTAAAGTCATCATAAATGCTTTGCAGTCTGTAACGAGCTTAAAGTGTTTGCCAAGTAAATACGTTCTAAATTTCTTTACAGCTTCTATTACAGCCAAAACTTCAAGTTCATAGCTGCACCATTTCTGTTGCGCTTCTGTTGTCTTTCTACTTGCATAATGAACAGGATGCAATTCGCCATCATCAGGGTCACGTTGCAATAGAACAGCTGCTATTCCGTGCTTACTCGCATCGGTGTGAAGTTCGGTGTAATCATCATAACTAAAAATTTTTAAAAATTGTTGAAACAGTTAGTAAGTTTTTTAAATTTTCGAATGCTTCTTTTTCATTTGTTTCAAACTTAAATTTAACATCTTTTTTCAACATATCGCTTAAAGGTTTTGCGATTTTTGAGTATTGTGGAATGAATTTTCTTAAATAACTTGTCAATCCCAGAAAGCTTTGCAGTTGTTTTGTCGTTGTTGACTCAGGAAAGTTTCGCACAGCTCTGGTTTTTGAAGTTGATGGTGATACAGTCCCGTGTTTTATAATGTGACCAAGATATTCAACTTGGGATTGAAGAAATTGACATTTTTTTCATTTTACTTTTAAACCATTCTGGGATGCAACATCTAATACCATTCTCAAACGGTCAATAGATTCATTTACTGAGTTTGCTGGAATGATAAGATCGTCAATATAAGTTATTACAATATTTTTGATAATTAAATCTTTAAAAACAAAATTGACAAATCTTTGAAACGCGCTAGGGGAATTGCATAATCCAAATGGGACTCGTAAAAATTTATATTGTCCCCGTTGTGTGACAAATGCAGTGTACTTTCTACTATTGTTTTCTAATGTCACGTGGAAGAAACCGTTCTCCAAATCTAGCGTCGTGAAAATCTTAGCACCTTGAAGCTTGTCTATCTGATCGTCTATTACTGGCAGAGCATAATGATGCATGCGAATTCTTTTATTTACTGCCCTAAAATCCACACAGAGTCGATGTGTACCGTATTTTTTCTTTACTAGAACCACAGGACTAGCATGATCAGAAGAACTTTCAACAATGATACCAGTCTTCATCTATTCATTAATTTGTTCATCAATAATTTTTTGTTCTACTTTGTCTTGGAGATTGATGTACAGGTTTATTATCAAGCGGAATAATATTCATTTGGATTGGTGATTCTTTCAACATTCTAGGTGAGTAATTTTCGATCATAGTAATTATTTTAGTAACAATTTCTTTTTTCAGATTGCTTAATCCGGGAAGGTCAGCGTAATCAGGTTCAGTATTAATTTTTATATCTGCTAGAAAGCATTTTAAATTTTCTTCTTTTTTAGATTCCGTTCTAAGTGCATTTTTCTTTTTAACTGATATGGCACCTCCATCAATATTTACTATAGCTTGACGCAATAAATTCATTCCTAATATGATAGGCATCTTCATGCAGTTATCATCGACTATGTGAACAACTACGTCAACGTAAATATCTTGATTTATTTCCAAATCAAGCTTGCAATATCCTTTAGAAACAACAGTAGCTCCTAAACCGGATATAGAAAGGGAGGTGTTTCTAAAACTAGATAAAGGAATAATTAACTTTAAACAAGAATTTTTTATTAAACAAATATCACTGCCAGTATCAATCAAACTTTCAAACAAAACACCATTTGCTTTTACGTAAATACAGGTATTGTTTACTGTTGCAATTTGGGTACTTATACTTATTTGCTTTCTATTAGGACAATTTGATTTTTTGTGCCCGAACTGGTTGCATTCAAAGCATTTAGGGCCGCGTTCCTTTTCTGGACAGGTATCAAATTCATGTAAAGACGAGCCACAATTACAACAGTATTTTATCGGTCTGCTGGTACGGTTTCTAACAACATCTGTTTTCTTGACTTCAACATGTTTAAAATTTCCGTGCTTGCTGACATCATTTTTGATTTTTTGATATGTATTTTTTGATATGAATTTGAGAGTCGTAATTAATCGTCATTTGTAATTCCGTTAAAATTTGAAATGGCTAAAATAGTGTACTACGGGTGTACTAACCTTTGATTATAGACTTTATAGATTTTTTTTCTATTGGGCCAACATGGTCCCGTGGTCAAAGTGTTCCCTCAAATTATTACACTCTATGCTACTCACAACGATATTTTTAGCTTGTATATTTAAATTCGATACCTATCTATGTAATACGCAGATTTTCAGCAATAAATGCCTACTTCAACTCAACCCTAGCAAGACGGCCCCCTTCATTAGGAGAACTAGGTGCTCTTCACTAGGAGAAGAATCCTTGAGCGTCTGCACACTATACAGGTGTGCGGAGATACCGAAGAGTGAAATACCTTGGCGTGGTATTTGAATCTGGAACATTTGCAGAGACTTGCATGGGTCTGCATTACTGGGGCTATGACATATCCAACCGCGGCAATGGAGGTGATTTTGGGACCAACCCCACTGCATCTCGTTGCCGAGTCAGGGCCAGGCTTTGCTCCTCGTATTTCTCAGGAATGATATGGTTAGAAGATATAGCTTCGAGAAAAACTTCAACTCATTGCTGAGCGACAGAAGGAACTGGAAGGAAGATTTTGCGGGCTGCCCGGTCGGGTCATATGCCATTGTGTGGCATATGGAAAGATCAAAGATCTGTGAGAGAACGTGAGAGTGTGTGTGCGGGCGTTTCTGGGCCAAGAATCTAATTCTTCGAACCCATGGAGACATATTCCATCTTATCCGTCTTTCAGCCGGAGGTGCATGTCATGGACATATGTGTGCAGATCAACCTTAAGAGACGATACCGTAGATAAGAAATATTGATCATGTCAGATAGTCAGGCTGCTATCATACCGCTGAGCTCTTTCTCAATATCCTCTGAGGTAGTATGGAACTGTCTTGGGAATTAAAACGAATTGGGTAAGTGCAATCGAGTCACACTGTACTGGGTGCCTGGACATGTGGGCGTACAAACAAACGAGGCGACGGACGCGTTGTCGAGAACTACGTTTTCACACCGCTGAATTGTGGTCTACCGGCCTTTCAAAGTTGCTCGAATTCATCAGGAGGGAAGATCCCGAGGAGGTGATGTAGGGCTTTGGCCCGCACCTAGTTAGGGTACACAAAAGATCTATATTCTCTGATCGCGGTGCACTGTTACCCCTTCTTTACAATTACAATCTACAAAAGCAGCTTGAGGACGCTCAATTGCGGGAAAACCAAGATGAAGAAGATTGATATAAAATAATGGCAAGCCAAGCAAATAATACAAAGTAAACGAAGAACTAAAATTCATCAAATCCTGAAGGAATACAACAAAAAAGGAGAATATGGCGAAAAATTAGATGGCACACAAGTAACTTAAAAACGAATAAACCTAATAAAAGATGAAGTGAAAGAAATTGTTTCACTATAAGGTCAACAATCAACAACAGCATATAAGTTTAGTTAGAGCACGAAGAACTGTAAACCAATGAAGACGAAATGCTACGAATGCAATAGCTTCAAGAACACTGTTATTGTTATATGCCAACACAAACATTTAAACGACGTGAAAAAGGATCACTGTATTTACCACCTAAAGAAGAGACTTGATGCAAAATTCGAATACGAACCAACAAAATCATCTTACAACTTAGCGAAAATATAATATTTTTGAGCAACTTCAACGGAAGCATCATATGCAACAATTGAATAAACCTTTTAGAAGTAAGTTTTCTACTAGGGTATTGGAACGAATAGCTACAAATAAAGGATAAACTGTTCAGTAACAAAGAAGCTAAGATGTCACAAATCTTGCGACTAATTTTGTGACCGAACATTACTAAGAAGGGAATCAAACTCAACTTAAGATACCTACACCATCAACATCTTACAAGTGACAGGAAATTGCAAAAACTCTTCGCGACTTGAGAAGGCTTTATTATATGAAGAAAACCATCGGTTGGACGATTATCGTTATTATACTGTTGGTTATTTTATTCAGGAATCATCGCACGAAATGGGTCTTGCCTTCAAAAGATCATGGAAATAACACAGTCTAATTTGAATTACAACCCTGCACTTAAAAAGTCACCTGCGTGGAGACACAAGCTCAAGTTAATTCTCATAAAGCATTGCACGCGTATCTGCTTTATAATTTTTTTAAGTAAATTTCCCACATTTCCAAATTCTAAATGTACTTATTTTGTAAAATCAAATATTTTACAATAGAAAATAACCACGCTAAGATAAAACTTATTATAAATAATTTGGAAATATTATTGCAAATCAGTGTCAAGCCCTTGTCGGTTAAATTAGAAAATAAAACTATTTTTTAATCTTATATAATTCGATCTCTTTATTTTGTATGTACATATGTACTTAAAATTTTATTTCTTATCATTCGAACAAAAAATCCTAAAATTTTCAATTCCAATACACACGAGTACATACGTACACGCATATATTTCTATAAAATTAATATTTTGTTCATGTCTAAACCTTTCCTTTATTTTAAAAATTTATTTCTATATGCTTACTCACATAATTCTATAATTATATGTTTAAAATTTATTTCTATATGTTTACTCACATAATTCTAAACTAATAGTTTTAAGCTTTATTTAATTAGAATATACCGTTAGCTTTTTGCGTTCATAGAAATTTGAAAAAGCTAACGGTTTCGAAAATATAAGGCATCAAAAATTTAAATTTTACAAATTTCACGAGGCGATAACTCGAGAGTGGGCGGAGATGAAAAAAAATTTCATAATTATTTTTAAGAGCTTCTTTTATTTTTAGTTCTATCTTATAAAATACTAGTCGTGTGTGCTTGCATTGCAAGCCTTGCAAGTATTATGCCTGTAGTTTTGAAATTGTGTTCCATTCTGTGTGTGATATATTTTGAGTTTACTTTTTTCTCCTTCAAAAACACTGCCGTAATATACATATAAATATGTTTTTTCCCTAATATTTTATAAGATAAAACTTAAAATAAGGAAAGCTCTTAAAACTAATATCTTACAAATGACAGGAAATTGCAAAAACTCTTCGCGACTTGAGAAGGCTTTATTATATGAAGAAAACCATCGGTTGGACGATTATCGTTATTATACTGTTGGTTATTTTATTCAGGAATCATCGCACGAAATGGGTCTTGCCTTCAAAAGATCATGGAAATAACACAGTCTAATTTGAATTACAACCCTGCACTTAAAAAGTCACCTGCGTGGAGACACAAGCTCAAGTTAATTCTCATAAAGCATTGCACGCGTATCTGCTTTATAATTTTTTTAAGTAAATTTCCCACATTTCCAAATTCTAAATGTACTTATTTTGTAAAATCAAATATTTTACAATAGAAAATAACCACGCTAAGATAAAACTTATTATAAATAATTTGGAAATATTATTGCAAATCAGTGTCAAGCCCTTGTCGGTTAAATTAGAAAATAAAACTATTTTTTAATCTTATATAATTCGATCTCTTTATTTTGTATGTACATATGTACTTAAAATTTTATTTCTTATCATTCGAACAAAAAATTCTAAAATTTTCAATTCCAATACATACGAGTACATACGTACACGCATATATTTCTATAAAATTAATATTTTGTTCATGTCTAAACCTTTCCTTTATTTTAAAAATTTATTTCTATATGCTTACTCACATAATTCTATAATTATATGTTTAAAATTTATTTCTATATGTTTACTCACATAATTCTAAACTAATAGTTTTAAGCTTTATTTAATTAGAATATACCGTTAGCTTTTTGCGTTCATAGAAATTTGAAAAAGCTAACGGTTTCGAAAATATAAGGCATCAAAAATTTAAATTTTACAAATTTCACGAGGCGATAACTCGAGAGTGGGCGGAGATGGAAAAAAATTTTCTTCCATAGAAATGAACTATTTGTTAGTGCCTAAAAGCTACTAAAATTTCAGGCTCCCACAACATGGGGTCTAGAAGAAAAACGACATCAAAAATTTGAAAAAAACGGATTTTAGATATCGGTAAATTTTAACCGCCATTTTGTTTTTTTAAAGTTCAAGTGCAGTATGCCGTGATAGAAGAAGTAACCCACTGCTTTTCTGCGTTTGCAAAATTTGAAAAATGCATATGGTTCTACTACAGTAAGTAGCTAAAAATGGCACTAACGTAAATAAATATCAGCTTTTATCAAAGACATCAGATGTTTTGTGGCATCTGAATATTAATGCTTCATTTGTTATTGTTTTGAACATTATGTTTCATCAGCAAGCCTTAAAAAAATATACATACAGAATATATGTACGTACTATGTTCTTAAAATTTTATTTTTTTGGTTCCAAGTGAAAAACTGTAAAATGCTAAATTTTAATACATTCATATGTACATACATATATTTGAATACAATTATTATTTTGTTTTTGCCTAAACCTTTTCTTTATTTGAAAAATTTTATTCTATATGTTAACCCACTGTTTTATAAAAAAAGGTATATATGTGGGATTTAGGAATTTTGATTGTACAAAAATAAAAATAATTAATTTATAGTAGAATGTTTAATATATATATTTTATATTTTACAATATTATTTATAGATAATGCTATTATTAGCTATATTAATTATTCTTTACTTTAACTTTATAAAAAAAAAATTAAACAAAATTAAAGTTAATATTGATTCGCTGACGACAATAAAAAATGAAATTGATGTGTTTTGCTCCACGTCCACGTTCAGAAAGAAAGAAGCAAAATCATTTCTTCTTTTAATAATTTTCTTTCTTTATAAAAATCTCTATACATATTCTAACTGTTTCAAAATTAATGGAGAGCCAATTCTATATGATGAACAAAGACTCCAAATTTAATTTCTAATTGTTTGTATAGAAAACAAGAGAGTTATCAAAATAATAAGACAAAAAATATGAAATGCAATAAGTATAATGAAATGAAAAAAGTGTATGGTGAATTAAAAACAGGGTGTGTCAGTTTTTAGCGCCCACATACGTTCATAATTATGTATATTTGTGCTTAAAATTTTATTTCTAATTTTTTGATCGAAAAATTTTAAAATGTTCAGTTCTAATATATTTATGTACATACATATATTTGAATAAAAATATTATTTTATTTATAGCTAAACCTTTTCTTTACTTGAATAATTTATTTCTGTATGTTACCCCCATGATTTAATAATTATGTCTTTCTATATGCCAAAAAAAACAGTTTTGAATATTACTCAATTCATACAGAAAGCTTAAAAAAATTAGTTAGGAAGCTTTAAAAAAATAACATACCTATTTATGTACTTAAAATTTTTGTTAATTTTTCCAAACTATTATAACATAATTTTTTTGGAAATTTTCTTTAAACTTTTATATTAATATTTATCTATTATATATTGAAAAAAGTAAAACAAAAAA